TTACCAAATGAAGTACACTGTACTTCGTAAATCCCACCATGTTGTTCTGAAGAGCATTCTTTCTAGGAATTGGCGTTTGTGTTGGAATGTTGGCAGAGCTTGTTGAAAACTTGAACGATACGCTACTTGCCGTTCGGCTTCCGAAGACAAAACGTGGGTGTCGAATCTGTAGACTTACTCAACGCACCATTCCTGCGTCGTGCTTTACACGAAAAAGGCGTCAATGTCGTCGCACAGCTCCTTGAGCAGGGGTCATTGGCGTGTTACGCAGTTTTGGTTCCCGGAACCAGGTCGATCCCATGACGCACACTTCGGTCCGGAGGTAGGACCGAAGGCGGGTCTTTGGATACGACATCTAGAAATTCCTTTACCATATGATAGCACAAATCCAAGGGATTTCGTGGGTTCGACGATCTTCTCCATGCGTTCAGCACTCATTTGATGCCTTCCAAGACAGATTCATTCAGAATCGATGACGACTTTATCTCCTCGTTCGGTCGTACAATGACCACTTCGGCCAAATCGCCTGCCTTCAAGGCACTGTTGAATACTTCAAGGGGCATTTCGTCCAGCTCAAGAAGAGCATCTACTGCAGTCATAGCCTCAGGGCGGGCGTCGCCATCTTCCTCCCCCGTCATACCGTTGACGAGGGTGTATAACTGTGCACCGTCATCTACGGTAGACACACCCTAGATCAGGGTCGACGCCCGGTGTATTGCAGCCAGCGTACACCGTCGACGTCGCCTCTGTACAGAAGTTCTATGTCTTAATGAGACTAGGGTGAACACGCACTCCGCGTCGTCCGGTGCCACCCTCACTGTCCGCTCCTTTGGAGCTCCGAAGTTATCTATAACATCTGACGAAGAATTGCTAACCCCGCAGTCTTCGTCCAGTAGATACCGTGCCACTCCACGCACACCTGAAGGGCCGTGCTCAAGATGTCTCAACTTCTGTCAAACCACGCCATCAATGGCATGCAGCTACTGCTTCACAACGAGAGCATTGCTAAGTGGTTTACGTGTAACTTTACGTGCATCACGAGAGCCTTGCCCTCGGCCCTCGATCGACCATGTCACACATGACATGCAGCGACTGCTCCGAAACGTGATCAGTCTCAGTGAATTACGTGCCACTCCACGATCAGCCCGCCATCCACGCTCGGGACTCCTATCCAATGCACCGTTGGTGTCTACCAACTCGGATATTCCGACGTCCAGCACGTTGACCGTCTCGGTCCAGAGCTCTCGCCAATAGCGCTTCTGTCTCCTAGCAGAGGTGGGTTCATGACTCGCCAAAGCTCCGCCAGGAGACGTGCGCGTTACGCCCAAGGTCGTTGACCTCCAATCAATCCATGGCTCATGGTGTTCCAACCATGCCATTCCTAAGATGAGGTCATACTTTGCATCCAAGTCTCGGACGAGACAGCGTTCCACGCTATCAAAGTCAAGGAGCTTGATTTTGAGGTCCTCAGGGACCGTTCGGGACCGTGACACGCGCCGCCGTCGCTAGGCGAACAGTGACGATGTCACCTAACCATGCTTCCAGCGCCTCAGCATATGGCTGACTTCCCTCCATCGTAAAGCGTCAAGCATAATTGCCTGACGTCCCGAAACCGATGAGAATTTTCCATTGCTTCTTGAAGCCTTTTACGGTCGCCTCCACGACCAGCAAGCCAGGCTTGCACACACGTTTCTTGTTTGAGAGCACGGAGCTCTTTGGGGCTGGGCTCTGCTGACCTATGCCTCCCTGGGATCAACAGAAATTCTTCCTCAGTAGGTAGTCTCTCGCCTACTGAGTGGTGTCATTTTTCCGCGACGAACCAGTGATGGTTCGAAGAACCTTGACGCACCTTGCGCAGGAGTTCCGAAGGCGACGGGTGTCTCGACAGTCAAAACACCGTCGAATGTGTGTATGTTGCTTGGCAACTCGGAGCTCTGCTCCCTCGCCCTCAGAATTGCTAAGACCCATGAGCATTGGCCCGCTCGACGAGCTGTTGGAGTGTGCATTCCAGCCAAGTCGTGCCGACTTGAAATTAGATTCGGCATTCAATGCCACATTCACCACCTCTTCAAATGAGGACGTAGTCACACGGAAAAAATCATTTTGGCCACGCCAGTGCGGAGGCATAAAGACGGTCACTGTGACCGCCTCAGATAGGGGATCTACTGCCACACCGGCAGTGAGAGTACGCAACTCTTGGACAAAGTCTTTCAATTTCTTGTTGCCCTGTTGGGTGGCAAGGAAACGCTTTCGCACGCGATACGCCTGATTAGGTGGCGAGAAAACTCGTGAAAGCTGCAACTTCAGCTCCGCCCAGGAGGTAAACGCAGCTCCGACCGGAGTGCCGCACGTCAGTGCACATTCTCACGCTCACCACCGAGCTTGGAGGTGGCTAGCGCCACGCGCTGTTGCTCGGCCAAGAGCATGGCGGATGCGATAGCCATCTTGACCTCTCTCACCCAGAGCAGAAGATTCTCTGCATCCTTCCCCTCAAAGACCTTAACTATCACCATGAGCGGCTAAGGTCGGGGGGAGTCATACGTCACCGACGGTGGCGTCATAGACGCAAACGATGCAGACATCATCTGCTGCAGGCTCTAGCAGCGCGTTTTCGTAACTCGAAATCGCCTCTAGACGCGCACCAATTGCCCCGGGGCCTTGTGCTACAAGATGTTGGACGTTCCAGGGCCAAGCAAGGACATCAGCTTATTAAGCCCGTGTTACATGCCCTGGGGCAAAGAGGAAAATTCCTCCATCCTTACAGAGAATCGGTCGAAATGACTCAGGTTTAAATTGACTTCAAGTGCTACCAAGTGCGGCGGGGCTGCCGTAGCTAAGCGCTTGAGATAGCGTACTTTAGGTCACCGACCTTTTGTTCTTGACAAGAACTAAGTATGAAGAATTGCGGATCGCAATCCGCTTACTCCAAGAGTAATTATTGCCTTCCTCAGGCTATTTGACACTTCGGTTTAAATTCCAAACTAATTTGAATTTATTTCTTATTCTAATTTTGAAAGTTTAGATATACTTTATATATACTTAAATCTAAATAAATGCATAACTACTGGCTACCTAGCCCCGTACCTTATTCTTATTTGGGTGTGACACACACCCCTGCTATTAGGATTCGTGTAACCCCGTTACAAATAGCGTCTAGACAACCAAAGTAATACTACATACAGTAATGCAAGATTATCAGTTTTAAGGTAAGCAAATACAGCAGTCGATCAACGACCATTTAATGCAAGAAAGAGAGTCAGACTAAGTAAGTCCTATCAAAGTTTCAGCAAAACACTTAATTTAGCTTTTGATTTCGAACACGTCTGAGTACATTTTTGTTGTACACTACAAGGCGAACATCATAGCCGATAAGTTGTCAAGTGGTTCGAAGTATTATCCAAAGTCCAGGAGCGAGAATATAAACGAGTCATATCAACAATGCAAAGTTGTTCAGACGATCAGAGTGCAAGCTAAGGCTACAGTGACGCATTTTATCGATGTGGTCCCAGATGCCAAAGTTTCATCTTGCAGATCTCGAACCGACAACCATGATCACCATGGTCAGCTGGTGCCTTAGCTGGCTGAGGCACATGGCAAATCGGATGCTTTGATGGAGCGATCACAAGACAGTACAATAGTGCCATGGATGCCACCATTGTCAATCTTACCGGTCCCAACTCAGCTGTCGTCAACACCTGGTCGAGATGGTGAAGATGAATCCAGCATCCGGCCAGTCTTTAAGCGTCGTGAGGTGGTGCGCTAACAGGTAAATTCTAGCGACCGTTTCAACTGGACGACTACGAAGATACACACGCCGCGCTATTTTGTCTGGTCGCTGAAATAGCTGACGAGAGCGTTACAACGTACAAAGAGATTCTACGCTCACCGAATTGCAGTCAGTGGCAGCAAG